GTTCACCTGTACTGACAGGCAGTGGTGGAAAAAGTACTAAACAACAGTAGTGGAGTAGAAGTATTGATACCAGGGACATCATTTTTAGTGGGAAAAGGGGGGACATTTCCCCCTGCATTTTTTCAAAAGGCGGTTTTGGTCCCATACATGTTTTACTGTCCAAAAACAATGTTACGCTACAGTGCAGAGACATTCGTTGAGCACTAGGACCAATCCGAAAAACCTCTGCTCAAGTTGAAGCCCGCTTCCCTGAGCTTAAACCACTTACAAGCTTCTGATTGGCCTACCGTCTTTTCTTTGTGTGATTTGCTGTCATGGCTGTCACTCTTGAGAAGCTCAATTTACAAACATCTGATGTGCGCACTGAACCGGGTCTGTGATTGGATGGTCAAACACGCTGAATTTAGTTATACAGTATTAAAAAATACTTGCGTCCGTCCCACTTCTGAAATGAAGATTTCGTCCATGATTAATACTCACAGTCAAATCTTACTCAACTACAAGTAAAAGTTACTTTGTCAATCATCTACTCAAATTAAAGTATTCACTTTTGAAAATACTCAAGTATTCAAAAGTACATTCATTTTGAAATACTTAAGTATGCAAAAATACAAATAGAATTTTCTAATATCAGTACATTTCTGGGGCGCTCAGTGGCGCAGTGGGTAGCACTGCTGCCTTGCAGCAAGAAGGTTCTGGGTTCGATTCTACTTATAATATCTTCTGCATGGAGTTTGCATGTTCTCCCTGAGCATGCGTGGGTTCTCTCTGGGTAAAAACATGACTGTTAGGAAAATTGTTTTCTCTAAATTCTCCTTAGGTGTGAGTGTGTGCATTTGTCTCTGTGTTGCCCTGCGATGGACTGGCGACCTGTCCAGGGTGTACCCCGCCTCTCTCCAGTAGAAAGCTGGAGATAGGCACCAGCACCCCACACGACCCCACTTGGGATTAAGCATGTCAGAAAATGGATGGATGTACCGGTACATTTCTGTATAACCTTGTAAATCTCAGAAACCATTGAACCACTGCTACAAATTCTAAACTACAGCATAAAAATGCCACAAAAAATAAAGAGAGCTATTTTGATTATTATTTCTATTTAGAAACAAATCTAAAAGAAAACTTGACTGTCTTGATTCTCTTCACTATGGAATAGACTCTTAAGGTTGTTTCTATTGCCACAAAAACTACCTTAATAACATTTATAAACTACTTATAATATCTGCCCAGAGTTTCTAATATTTGAGGACCGTCATGCAAATATCTAAAACAGTGGAGTCCAAATTCAGTCCTAAGTGATGCTATCTTGCAAGAAACAGCACCAGCAGTTTAAAAAGCTAAGCTGAGCCAAAAGGAACAAGTAACTAGCAGCTTCCTAGAAATGGAGTGAAGTACAAAGTATAAAATTTGACTTTGAAATGTAGTGAAGTGAAAGTTATAAGTTCTTCAGTTTCTCGTTGTTACTTAGCTCCTCTTGTGTGTTTTCCCCTGGCGTCTTTTGGTTTTTTTTTTATTTTTTCTTGTGTGTTTTCCCCTGGCGTCTTTTGGTTTTTTTTTTATTTTTATTTACTGGATTTTGCCATTGTTGCCTTTGGAACCGTGATTAAATCAGCAAAACTCATCTCTGTCTCCTCGTCTCTGCATTTGGGTCCTCACTAACTTCCACCAAACCTGAGAACCACTGTATTCAGATGTTGGTTTTAATGTTTTGATTGAAAGCCTATGTATCATAAAATCAAAATAAATTGCATAAAAAATTTGGGTTGAAATGTAAATAAATGTGGACTCTATTAATATGCTGCTTGACTCTTCTCTTATTTTACATACATTAGTGATGCATTCATTATTTTAACACAACAATGCTAATGAAGGTTATATATACTAACATCACACCTTACCAAAGCTTTTTTTTTGTCTTCATGGCTCTCAGTCGGCAAACTCCTGTTACTAAAACCCCTGCTGTTAAGCACTTAGCGTCCAGCTGGCTGCCAATCAATCGCTGGACCAACTGTCCTGAAACCGCAGCATTCCTCCTCAGCCATTTGAGCAAAGCAGTGCTCCATTACATCCCTGCCTGAGGAATGAACTGGCATAACAGTTGTGTGTGGAAAATAACCCACCTAAGGAGCAGCAGCTCTAAACTGCTCCACCGAGGCACACAATCATTTTTCAAATAGGTCATTTCAGTCGAATCTTGTATTTAGAGTTTTTTATGAGTGATCACATGTGGTTGGTCCAGTTCTTGAGCAAACAGCAGGAAACATTCCAACCAAAATAAGAGTGCAGCACTGTGCCCCAAATGGTGTGGTTTTAATGAGAAGTTGCACAATGATATGGGGTTCAGTGACACCACTGAACACAAAGCTTCTGCCTCATGACATAGAAGCATGTTGGAGATGGTGGAGCCTGTACAAACACTGAATACTTTGGAAAATGTTCTCACAAATTTTGATTATGTACCTAACTCTGCTTTTAATCAACTTCCATAAATCATTTTTTACTTTATGAAAGTTGCTACATTAAAAAAACAAAACAAAAAGAAGATTGTGACATACAAGTCATTTCTGCAAATCACAGCAATTTAATCATCTTCTTTTAGTGTAGCTGCTGTCACTATTGCTTTGCATCAAAAGGTTGAGGGTTTATATCCTGGTTAAAACTTTTTTCTGGTGTTTGCATTTTCTTCAAATTCACACAAGCTACTAAAGCTTAAAATAATGTAACTTAGGTTTGAATACATTTCTAGATAAAAATACCTAAAAGTTACAACAGCAAAGAAGATGTTTTGCTCTTTACGTTTTGCTCTTTACACTGCCTATGTACAGCTACAAAGTTTTATTTATATACATATGTAATACTTGCAGTATTGGCTGGGAAGCTGGGGTTGATTGGGTGTTTTCCATTCCAATTTTAGTGGACCAACAGGATAATGGCAGGTGGGGGGAAAAAATGAAGTTAGCAACACAAATTAACTATTTTATTTAGTATTTATCAGATGTTTTGATAGAACATTGAAGGATTCCATCAAGCCGTCCCTCCATCCACCATCCATCCATCCATCCATCCATCCATCCATCCATCCATCCATCCATCCATCCATCCATCCATCCATCCATTTTAGGAATTCATGGTATATCGACTTTGGCATCGGAGTCGGCTGTTATTCGTTATTTTCTTACACATTGTTTTTGGGCCCTATATATAAAAGTATAACTATAAGTATAAATAGCAGTGTGTTATGGTTCACTTGTGTTAACAATAGGAAAGCATTCAATAAATATATGTTTGAACTAATTTTTGGAAAATACAAAAACCTAATGAAAGTGTTCGGGTCAAGAAATTTTAGGTAAATCAGCTACCAGCCGATTTACCTCTAATGCTGCTTTTAATAACAAAGCTTGTTTGGTTATACAGTTGAACAGAGCCACACAATATATGTATTAATGATGCTTAAAGATGCATGTGGGACTTTAACGAATTGCTTAATAGCACAGTGGATGCTATATGCTTTAAGATTAGTAGACCTGCTAATCCTTGAATAAGACCTAACATTATAAGGCCTGACATTAAAATGACTAATCCTTGCTTCCATCCTAGTCATCCTTCATTCCATTCAATCAGTCAATCACTGTGATAATTTATTAACGCATTAAAAATCCAATGGCTAAAATGTACATCCCTTTAAATGGTGAAGTGCTTCTTTGAACACATAGCAAATGTTGATCTTTGATCATTTTAAATCTAATTGAGCCTTATTAATAATAATAACAGCTGAACTTTATTGATCTTGCATTGGAGAAATTTACCTCTGCATTTCAGAGGTTAAGGGTCTTACTACAGAATCTTTGGCATGTATTGATATGTGTTTCTACCTAAATGAAACCTATAGTTGTTTCCATCCATGCATCTGTTACTCCTTCTGTTCCTCCATCTATCCATTAATGTTTTTCCGGCATATTCAAGATCAAACAGATGATAAATATAGCAGGATAACCGTGACTTCCCTCTCCTGTTTAGCCTGACCTGAGAATCATGGCTTCATCTTAAATCATACGATCTTGACTTGCATCTTGTCATTTTATAGTACTGTTAAAGTAATTTACAATTCCTATGCTTTGCACCGAATGCAAAAAAAGTACATACAGAGTTTTATTTCTTTCAAAATCCTTTCCCTATTTTTCTCCCTCATTAATAACCTCAGACTCTGGGAATGGATCACCCAATAACAGATGTATTTTAACTGGATCAGGCAGTAAAAAAGTCCTTAGGGTACATTTTAGTACTTTTGTTTCTGAAAATGTTCTTAAATCCAGTGGTGCATTCTGGCTGCTAGCTCAGCACTGTGTAGAAATTAACCTGGGAAACAGATCAGGAGGAGGGAGGACAACATACTGATTAAAAACCTGCAGAAACCTTCACTGCCTGTGAACTGTTTCAGTCCTCTATTTGGGGGAGTGCCAGAGAGAGCCTCCAAAGGGCCATTTTTCCTGAAAAGTGAATATTTTCTCAAGCTAAACCACAGTATAAAATCTGGGATTTTTAAAGTTTTTATGTCTTTCATTTAAAACCAAATTATATACACCATTTGTAATCTATATCTTGTAAAGAAAAACAAAAATCGAAATGGTTGGACAATCCCAGGAGGTACAAAAGCAAAAGATTGCTGAATACTTTCTTGTTACAAAGAAAGCATTACCAGTAAATATACAATTTCTCATGGCCTGCTCTCTCCTTCTCTTACTCATTTTCCTCTCCACACCCTGTTTCCCCCTTTGTCTGTGCCAAGTGTCTCGTTGCAGAGTTTATAAAATATGATTCATCCTCAGGAGTTTTTGCTCATAATCAAGCACATATTGTAGTCAGAGAGCAGACAGGGGACATGGTTTGAAAATGGGAATAAAAAAAAAAAAAGCTGTGGAGAAAAATGGACTGGAAGGCTCAGCAAAAGCAACAAGATGTTGAAAATGAATCAGGAAAGAGAAACTTCATATAAAATAGTTTATTAACATTTATAACAGGAAAAGGTACAAGGATAAAGAACAAAAATGGAATGTGTGACATGATTATATCATACAACAAGAAGAAATTTTCATGTTTAAAAAAAATTGCCTTTTTTTTACTCATTTTATTGTTTGGCTGTTTGAGAAAGCTTTGACCGAATGAATAAACGAAGCTGAGTAAATGAAAACCATGCATGAAGCACAAAAAAGAAGTATTATATGACAGTATTGAGTAAAGGTCTCCTCATTCTCTCTCATAAACTCTTGTGCAGACAACGTCCCCGGCCGTCATCGTCTGAAAGAAAGCAGCAAAACAACAGACATGAGGTTGAACCTTTAAGGCTTCCTTCAAAGATTATCCTAATGGATACATTTTTTTTGAGGTTTAAAAAATGAAAACAAATTAGGTTGTTCTTAATCTGGGGATTAGCAGCTAACTGGTCCCCAATTTAATGTGCGGAATATGTGGTGGTGGGACTTATTATTTATATGTGGAATACATTTTAATTTCAAAAAGTAACTTTGCTTTGTTTATTGATTAAGTCTTTAAGTTGCATAATCAGTGAATACTTTGAAAAACTAAATCCACTAAATGATGCGCAAAGTTAGTCTCCGATCTGGGAATGGAATAACAACCTGGTTGAGCATATTCTCATTGCAGTTTGGAAAATGTTATATGCTATATGTTTTGGTGCTAGTTACGATTACCAATACAAGCCAAAAACCAGTGTATGTGCTCAAACGCTATGACACCATAAACGTAAAATAAAAGATTGTGCAGAGCTCTACGTGTGCCACTGGTTTGCCACAATAGGTACTGAAATCTGGGCTGTAAAAGAACTCTCCCTTACCTAGTAAAAAGTATGACTTCACGTCACTTTTACTTATCATTGTAACTATGAAGGAGAAAAAAAGTACAACAAAAAAGCAAGAGATTTTCTTTTGGGATGATGCTACCAATGTAATCTTTCATTGTATGGTGTACTTTCAGAAAGGTACTTTTTTGTTATGCCAACCACTTTGCATAAATTCAATTCAATTCAGTTTATTCATATAGCGCCAATTCACAACACGTGTCATTTCAAGGAACTTTACAATTCAACCAGATTGTAAAGTCAAATTGATTCAAAGTTTTCTATCTAAGGAAAACCAGTTGATTGCATCGACTCATTGACTTGAATGCAATCCCTTACACCAAGTATGCTTGTAGTGACAGTGGAGAGGAAAAGCTCCCTTTTAACAGGAAGAAACCTCCATCAGAACCAGGCTCAGTGCGTGAGCCCATCTGCAGAGGAGGAAAACAGACGCAGACATACAGAAAAAAGCAGAGATACAAAAAGCAACCGTATACCAGCTAGAGCCAGACTGTGTATACCAGACGAGCTCCAAGCCAGCTCCTATATCAGAGGACGAAGCGAGCACATCCAGCCAGTCACAGTACAACCCAAACTTGGAGTTTTGTCCTAAAAAGCTCCCACAGGCTTTGAGAGATTTTCAAATTAGCTTCTAAGCTAATTCAATAATGAAACCTAAATAAAAACAAGCACTCTTTACAGATATTTAACAAATTTGATAAGTCTTGTTAAATCCACAATTTAAAAGTAATCGAATAATGTTTTTACATATTGTACCTTTGGTCCAGCATGAATTGATGGACACAACTTTGTTATACAGTAATACTATTGAAATAACTTTTTTTTAATATATTATCTTCAAAGCTATTTTTAGTTTGATTTGTCAATATTAGCATTACATTTAAAAACTGTCCAGCTAATGATACAGATGGGTTAGGCAGCCTATTTAACGGATACAAGAGAAAAATGGCGTTTTTCTCCGCACAATATTTAACACAACTAATTTTTATTCTTTCTGTTTCCCTCTTTGCCTCCGGTGGGTGATTTTAAACCATCCTGAAAAAAACTAAAAACTTTAATGCTAGAAACATATAAAAGTTCTGGTTTCATTTGAAAGTTTTTTCCACCTGTGTTTTGAGCCCAGCTGAAACTAGAGGGTCTGAAAGTCAGAAACAACTGAGTTAAATCACTTTATACTCTCGCGATTTTCATTTCCTGGAAAATGAATAAAACCAAGAAAGGGGCACAGGTGTTTCATTTGAGTTGAGCATTAGGGTTTCTGGAAACACACCCAGGATCTTCAAACCCTCCTAACACATGAATTTGGCACACATAGAAAAATATAGTGAAAATCAGATGTAAATACACTTATGGAAAAAACACATTGAATCTATTTCTCTTTGCCTGAAATTAATTCAGACTTAGCCTTTCTTCTGTTTGAAGTCATTTAGGATTTTTAATCTATCATTAAAATAATTGTGTAATGGCAGATTTCTGCAAATTTTGCACCCAAACCAGCTCATCTCTTGGACACAGAGCCCATGTCCACCCTGAACAGTGTTAAGGTCGGACATTCCCATTGCTTATAACTAGAGATGAACATGGCAAAGATTTGCCCATGAGGCCCTCAGGCCTCTAAAAATTGAACCGAAGGGGGAACCTTATGAGTATAGGTCAACATTATTTTCTCTGACATTGTGGCTATATGTAATAATTTTGATGGTTAATAAATGGAAAAAATGTAATCAAATAGTCAGAAGGATGCCTATTTCCAGCAGTCATTGAGCATACACATGGTAGTCTGGCTGGTCAGGCTGTAAAGACGGATACATACTGGAAAGGATGGCAGGTTAACACAGACAGAAAAAACCAAACCACAAGAAGACACTCACTCCTAATGACAACTTAAACAGTACAAAACCCCAGTTAGGACTTTGAACATCCTTTTATATTGTTATTGTAAATATCTAATTTTCACTGAACACTTCACTGACGGTTAAACATAGAAAATTTGCATATAGATCTCCGATGAAGTTGAGTATTTGTCTTATAGAAAAGATAATTACCAGTATGAGCTCTCCATCATTGGTCAGTTCTCTGGTCCATGCAGTCTTTGGTCCGTCTCCTTTTGGTAAAGTCTGTTCACAGCTAATCTTTCGGTCTGTCTCCCACTTTGGAAAACTCTACAGGAATTAAAATGAGAAGAAGAACATAAATGGCTGGCATGCTTTAGCTGGATACTGGCTGCTTTCCTAAATCCGGGAATATAATAGAGCTGTTGGGAAGTTTGGTCCTGAGGGACACTTCATACATGTAGTTTTGAATATCACATAACTATAGGTGAGTAGTAACTAGTTACATGTACTAAGTTACATTTACTTGAGTAACTTTTATTAATAAACCTGAAATAAATGTACTTTGAGTAGTTTTACGATCATGGATGATAAGTAGGTCAGTTACTCAGTACTTTAGTAGCCTTTTTACCCAGATACTTTTTTTTTATTTCATTTGAGTAATTTCTCTTAGGGCCACATTTCACGTTAATTAGATTAAAATACAATGACATGGTGTTACTTTTACTTAAGTAAGATTTTTGGGTACAACATAACATATTGTCATACTTTTAGGTCCAAGAGGTAAATACCTCATGTAGACTTAGGTTTAAAGTAATCTTTCAGTTTTCCAAAGATTTATTTTTACTGGAAGTGTTATAGATATTTCGGACTGGCCCAGGCAAATATGAATATTTTTCTTAATTCGAGGAAAAATTATTATTTTCTTTTTATGATGCATGTATGTATAAATAATTTTGGGCTTAAATGTGCAGTTTCTATATACTTTTCCAGGAAGCTATTTCTTTTTGCTTTTTTATTTAATTTTTTTGCAATAGTGGCCTTTATTTGTAAAGTTAGCAGGATGGAGATACAGCGGTGAAATGAAGCACAGATCTCAATAGGTCAGGAGGGCTAAAACGTTGAGGGCTGCATCAATCACCAAGGCCTCTGTATACGGGTAACACGCTGCATTGCTGAGCTTCAGAGGATTTCTAATTGTTTCTTGGTTTTATCAGGGGGTGATAAATCCTCACACCAAATAAGAATCGGAACTGAGAGAGCAATGGGTTATAATCTAAAATCTTTGTAAAATTTCCGACCTTTAAAATAACATTGAATTAAATTGTATCAAATGTTTTTTTCTTTTATTTACTCTCCATAAAGTAGTGTATATACTTCACTTCAGAAAAATGAAATGATATACAATAACTTAAGTACAACATGGTTTGCTACACAAAACACAGGCCAAATGATTAAATGGACAAACTGAACCAAATGCCCCTCTGACACCTCATTACAATCAGGTGTGGTTGTAACTGGAGCTTAGATTTCCAGCTGCAGTCTGTGAGAAAAACCCTTACAGGCTGTCGGAAACCGTCACTCGACAGAGAAGAAACCAAGTACAGCCCTCTGTATACAATTCCTCAGTCTGACTCTTGAGTTGCACTAAAATTATTACCATATGTGCCTTTCTTTTGTAGAACTGCTGCCAGTTTTGCTGTTCTTAAGCAGAATCTGGTGTGCATGTAATGGCATTACAGAGGAAGGTCTTATGAGCAAAAAGATGAGTACCGTGCAGGGCCGTCCATCGACTGTGGCCTCGTTGAAGGACTGACCCACGGTGAAAGACACGTGGGTGGTGCGGACGCTGGTGGACGTCTTGATAGAGAGCGTTTCTCCTTGCTGGGTGATTTCCACAGCTGGGCTGGAGGCTGCGGCAACTGCGATCTTCCTTAGGAACACGTTAACACCTACAGATTCACAAACAGAGCTTAAGTCAGACTAACAGCTGTTCAAAATACAGTGCTAAAAAAATAAGGGGAACATTCAAATAACACATCCAAGATAAGAATAAATGATATATTCTCATTGAATACTTTTGTTCCAGCTTTTTGAAACAGGTCAAAATGGGGCTCAGTATTTTGTATGGCCTCCATGCGCCTGTATGATCTCCCTAAGACACCTGGGCATGCTCCTGATGAGGTTGCGGATGGTCTCCTGAGGGATCCTTTCCCAGACCTGGACTAAAGCCTCCGCCAAGTCTCGGACAATCTGAGGTCTAAGATGACGTTGGTGGATGGATTGAGACATGATATCCCTGAAGTGTTCTATCGGATTCAGGTCTGGGGAATGGGTGGGCTAGTCCGTAGCTTCAATGCCGTCATCTTGCAGGAGCTGCTGACATGCTCCATTGCTGTGCAGTCCTGTAAAGGAATGGCACCCCACACTATTAAAGACCCACTGCCAAACGGGTGAAGGATGTTGTAGGCAACAGATCACTCTCCACGGTGTCTCCAGACTCTGTCATGTCTGTCACATGTGCTCAGTGTGAACCTGCTTTCATCTGTGAAGACCACAGGGCATCAGTGGCAAATTTGCCAATTGTGGTGTTGTCTGGCAATTGCCAAGCATCCTGCATGGTGCACAGCTGTGAGCAAAACCAGCACCTGTAGATGTTGGGCCCTCATACCGTCCTCATGGTGTCGTTTTCTAACCGTTTGTGAAGACACATGCATGTTTGTGGCCTGTTGGGGGTCATTTCACTAGGCCCTGGCAGTGCTCCTCCTCTTCTTCCTTGCACAAAGGCAGAGGTAGCGGTCCCGGTGTTGGTCTGTTGTCCTTTTAGGGCCTCCTCTGCATCTCCTGATGTATTGACCTGTCTCCTGGTAGCGCTGATAGACACAGCTAACTTTCTTGCCTCAGCTCACTTTGATGTGCCATACTGGATAAGCTGCACTAGCTAAGCCACTTGTGTGGGTTCTTGAGTCAATCTTACGCTACCGCAAGTGTGAAAGCACCAACATTACTCTAAAGTGGCCAAAACATCAGCCAGACAGTATAGGTACTGAGAGGTGGTCTGTGATCCCCACCTGCAGAATCACTCCTTTATTAAGGTTTACTAATTATCAATAATTTCCACCTGTTGGCTATTCAACTTGGAAAACAGCATGTGAAAGAAAGTTGAATGAAAGTTGATTGTCAATCAGTGTCGCTTCCTAAGCAAACAGTTGGATTTCAAAGAAGTTTGATCTAAATGAAGTTATGTTGTGTTGTTCCCTTTATTTTTCGAGCAGTGTATATAATCATAGCTCTGCATGCCAGTGGCTTTGAAAGTTTTTGTGGTGGATAATCCACCACAGTAAATATGTCTCTGCCTTCAATTTTTTTATTTGAGTTTAACTCATATAAAAGCCTCCTGTGGTAATTCAGCACTGTGCAAAGAATGGCTGGAATTTTCTTTCTTGCCCTGGGCTCATTGAAACCATGTTATCTGATATTTAGGAGTCAAAAGAAGCTTTGATAAAGCACCAACAAAATGTATTTCACAATCTTTGCCTGTCACTGTTTTGTTCTTGATTGTTCCTGTGACAACATGTAATCTGTACTTTATGAACAGTTTTCACAACTGTAAGCAGAAATTATTTGATTTATTTCTCACTTGAAAGTCAGAATGAGCTAAACCACAAATGATCCTGCTTAATAAAAACAAGACGCATCTGATATGTTCCAATGGACCACAAATGGTAGAACTAACATAATACTATACTCCAAAATTAACAAATTAAGATAAAAAAAAAAAAATCTGTTTCTTTACAATTTTTGTGAAGGCAACAAAGGTTATTGTACTTGAGGGGAAGACAATCTGAAACTTTGTAGTTTCCCATTTGCTACTTTTGGTAAAGTAAACAAGATGTTCTAACGCCATTAAAATGTGAACAACATTTCAGTACCAAACTAAATGAGAAAAACCTGTGAACCACATGCCTTTAACAGCTTATTTTCCAAAACAAACGACTGTGGCGAGGAGGTTTCAGTAAATATCGTCATCCGAACGTTTAAGTATTCAGTTCTGGGCAGAAAAACACCACTTGGCTTAAGGTTGTTAACACGGTGGCTTGGTTCATGTGCACACGCACTGCTTAGTGTCAGTGATTCACCGGAGCAGGTTAGACACATAGGAAACCTGCAGGACATATCCTAAAGGCTATAACGGGGAAAGCTTATGCTTAAAAGAGTGAAAAGAGCCTCAAAACACTTTTGACTGCAGCATGTGCGGATGCAGATATGAATACATGTAATAAAGGTTAAATTTACAGTTTGCAACAGAAACAAAATGAACATAAGGTGATTGGGAACAATATCATGTAGGCAGTCAGTATACAAAAATAGGTTTTGCAAATGAAAACATGAGTAGCTTAAGAAGACCATATTAGATATTTATGTGGTGTGATGCTGAGGTATGAGATTAAAAGAAAGAAAAAAAGAACAAAGTTCCTGCACACTTTAAAAAGTCTTAAAGAAAGATGGCAACAATCTTCTCAGTGCATGTGTCACTCATATTAATGTGTTTTTCTAACTCAACAATATTTTCAATGCATAGTCAAGATGTCCCAAAAAAAAAAGCCACACTATGCATCTTTTGAACTAATTTAGTGTCTTGTAATATGATTTGCCAGTCTCAGAGACACTAAATTTCTCCCTCTGTCCCTTTAGGTGGTGTTAAACACTTGAAGTGGGTTTGTCTCCACGCGGAAAGGTAGAGAGAGTTGCAGCTAGCAGCAGATCCATGCATGCAAGTAGAAGTAAACACTTTTTCACACAATGATTACAGTCAAGACCTGTAACAATTCTCTCTGGGCAAGCAAGCTTTCAGAAACCAAAAGCCTGGGGTGAAACATCTACAAGCTTGGGGTAAGTGAAGAGGAAAATGGAAATAAAACCGCAATCAAAATTTTGATTGAAAATAATCACAATTGAGATATTTAGCAAAATCATCCAGCCCTAATAGAAACTAGGACATTCAACAAAGAATACACATAAACTGAATAAATAACCAAGCAAACAAGGTGGTACTCTACATTATAAATAAAAGTTCTGGAGAGTTATCTTGCAGCCACTAGAAATTATTTTAAGATACATTTTTATCAATCCATTTGGTCAGTCAGTTATTTGACTTTGAGGGCAAACTAGGTGATCAAAATCTTCTGCATGTCTATTAAAGTAAGAATGATTTGATTGCATTGACTTAAAGGTGTTTTAAGAAGTGCATGAATGAAGAAATTCACTATTTTCTTCCAGTGGCTATAGAGATCTAAAATCCATTAAAACAGAAGAAATGCAAAATGTTCAGTTTGTTTTTAAAGTGTGCAGTGATGAAAAATAATCCCAATCCTCTGCCGCCATCATTCATGTGGTTTGGCCTCTATTCAAAGGGATCAAGACAATTCAGATATCTGATTCAGTTTAGAGGAGGAGGTAACACACTCAAACAGACAAAGCACAGGATCGCCCAGAGCCTGAGGGAGGCGAAGAAGGAAAGTCAGGCTCAGAGCTGGTTGGCTGCTGGGGCCCATGTCAAGGCTTAGTTCCGTTTACATTGGCTGTAATTACAACCACATGATGAGGACGCTGCTTTAGATGAGTCTAATCTAACATTTGTCCACAGGCAATTTTCAGAGTCTCTAAAAGACACCACAATGTGGCCCTCGTTTGACCTCTGTTTCCTGCAAGAGGGACCCATACCTGGATTATGGCAAGTCACTCAAAAATGAGGAAATATCCTTTAGCATTTGATTTATGCCTACTTCACAACCCGGTGGACTTTCAACAGTTAAAATTAATGAAAAGATGCAAGTTTCTTATGAAATGGAGGGTATCAATTTGCCATAGACTTTTAATATTGTCTTATAAGGTGTTGGGCAACATTTTCCAACCGTTTTAGGAGTTCTTTTTTTTTTTTTTTTTATATATATATATATATAAATATCCACATAACAATGGAAGGCTAATTGGACCTGCTGCAGAAGATCATATTCACATAGTTTTTAAAACCATTTGGTGACATAAAACCAAATGCAACAGGGCTGGATCAAAATATTTGCCCATGAATATTAAATAAGGAAATAACTGGCATTAAATGGTACAATTATTAAATAATAAAAACCCTCTTCTTTCTTTTTAAACTGCACCTTTTTTTTTTTTTTTTTACCCTAGATAGATCATTAAACTAGGCAATCAGATCATATCTAATAGACTGGTAATAAAGTGCGCAACAGAAAAATAACTCACCTAGAGCTTTTAAAAGCTCCTCAAAGTTTTCTGAAGATTTCATTTTCCATTTCCCAGAGAAATCTGTCACTTTGTTCTCCATTTTGCTGCTGGTTGCAGATTAGAGCAGGAGTCTGAGCGCTCAGCTCTATGTGCGCCTGTTCCTAAAAAGCCGTCTCTGCATCTGCGCCTCCATCCATTGGCCCACAGCTCCTCTGAATCTGATGCTGCTCCAGCCAATGCAGAGACCCGTACAGAGGAGGGACTTCCCCCCCTCCCCAAAATCCCAAAATGCACCCTCCACCTCTTGCAGCGTGGTGAAAGATTTGGATACTAGCTGGAAAAATGCACTTCCAGTAAGGCGTTTGAAGTCGATTAGCTGCAAAGAGAAGTGTTAACTATTTTGTTTCTTTTATAGGATTCTTTATTTCTTGCATTGTTCAGACAATGCACAAGTAAGAACCCTATATTTAGAAATGATTCGTTAAAAAGAAATAGAGATAAATAGCAGTCCATCTTGCATGCAGGCGTTGAAGAGCTGGAATGTGAAATCAGATCCGGTGTGAAAGTTTTGTTCTGCAGGATGGGAGGTGGGAAAAGCTGGTAGAGACAGAGCAAAAGATAAGATATCCAGCAGGTGGCATCAGTGCAGCAGGAGGTAATCAGAAAGCTCACTTTGCATTTTAGATAGAGGATAAATCATCTCGCTTACTGGTTCCCAAATCAAGGGTCAGGGGCTCAAATTGGGTCATGAAACTTCAGGTCATTAAAAAGCAACATTTAAATTCAATTTAAAAAAGAGAATGCAGCTCCAATATGAATAGCTCCAAAAGGTCACAAGAAATTAAATCAAATTGAAACTTAATTTCTTTAAGTTACGTTGGTTCAAACTTTATTTAATCGCTGATACTTTTTTTTTACCAATTAAAGCAATTCATTTAAAGTTGGATTGGAGGATTTTTTAAATGACCTGCCCTCTCTACTTTAAAAAAAAAGTACACATATACAACCCTGCACCCACGCCGCAGAGGGAACGCCTATTGAACACATGCTCTCTGTTTAAAAGTTGCTGTTTGCATCACTCATACAAGCTTACTTTCCAAAAGAAGATTTGCAATGTTTCCACTATGTGAGACTCATCACCGGTAAGTGAAAATGGGGACGTAAACATATCACCAGAATGACTGACAAGTAGGAGGACCACTTATTTAGATGATCCACCCGGAAAAAGAACACCCTCCTCCAACTCCAGCTCTAACCCAATTCAATGAAATTCATCAGAATAAATTATGGATGCACACAGTTCTTTCAGTTTTAAGAGAATGGCTCTGCTGTAAAACATAACCACAGCTTAGAGCTGTTTTAATATCTATACCAGGGGGCCTAATAAATGGGTCTGGTGCTGTACTTCAAACACAGATTGGAGGAAGGCTTGGTTTCTTTGTGGGTGTTATTGCCCAAGATTGAAATGTAATTTCAGTCCCAGTGCCATAAATAATAATAATAATTTTTTAAAATTAATTGCAGGACCTGAGACAAAAAGTAAGAATTGTTAAAAGATTAAAACATGCATTTCAAGGAGATGTTGACATTTGGGCAGAAATGTGCATTGGAGGCTTTTAACATGTGCTTTAGTTCCACCAGGGGTTCACATTTCAAAGGGATTTATAATGTCCCCCAGGAGGCAAATACTTTGCGGCCAACAGTTGTACACACACTCAATAAAAACAAGAGGTAGTTACCAGAAACAAGAGCAGCTGCTGTCGCCTGTCAACGTTTTTCCTGTGGAACTTCCACCATTTACGCACATATTAACCCAACTTTTCCTCCCCAAAGAGCTGTTTCAGTATGATCCCCCATCAATAAAGGTGCAACAGCTGTGTCCCTAAGAAAAAAAATTAGACATGTATTTTTTTTTTCCATTAAAATTGGAGCATTTAGAACAATCCTTGTGAATCTAATCATTAGCAAGAGATAAAACACACCACCAGAGGTGACTTAAAGATTTGTAATAATTCAGTGAGAAACCTGACTGTACAAAAGATATGTTTTTATAATCTAAATACATTCTGAAAACCTTTGCATAGTTCAGTCGACAAATATAAAAAAATGAAGGTGGGGAAATCGAAAGAGTCCTACCAAATGGGAATTTAATACTGGAATTAAATCAAAATGTTGTCTAAGTTGGTATCAGTTTAAGACTCTCCCTGCTTATGGAACCAGGTTTTTGCATTCTAATATACCATTTTCATCCCATAGATGTATTTGATAATCAATTCACTTGTACACGATACACCATGCATTTTAGGATGGATGCTAAATTTATCCATGCATGTACGTGAAGTAAGAGAGGTTTTGATGACTGACAGAGCCGCTGAACACTGTTGTTAACATAGCAGCAAGCAGAAATATCAGATTAAACAATAAAAAAAAGGGTTTTCCTATTTTGTATCTCACTTTGTTATTATTTTCTTTCTCTCTTCATTTCTCTCTCTTTCTCTCACACTCACTCTCTGCCAGGACGGTTTCATCACACTTGGATCAAATGAAGAAACATGAGGCACACCATTCTTCTCACAAAGGGACTCGTGATATGATCTATGCAGGTTGGGTAAGTGTCTCTGAACACAGACATGCAGAAGAAAGACAGTATATAGTTCTTAGACCAAGATCGGAACTAGCTTCAAATGACAAGGTTCTCAGAAAGATGGGACACATATAATACTAGAATGCAATTTTGACAAGCATGGCATCACAAGCAAACCTGGAAGTCAGACAACACGACATCAGTAGCAGCTCAGAGTTGAGGGGAAGATGAGGATAATGGGCCTGGTGTTTAGGGCATAGAGCTTGGAATCCTGAGGTTCTGAGTTGGAGCCACCCTCCCACAGACTGCCACTCTTGGTCTCTGAACAAGACCCTTATCCCCACACTGCTCCCTGGGCACCGCACAATGGCAACCCACTGCACCCCATGGGGATTGGTTAAACGCAGAGGTAAATTTCTCCAATGTGAGATCAATAAAGTTCAGTTATCATGGACTTGATAGTACACTAACTAGACTTCCTGCTACTATGACAAATATGTTTCTCTCATTGTGATCTTTTATTTTTACGGCTTATCAGGGGAGCCATGGGGAAAAATCTGAGAAATGTTTACAAAGAGTGAGATTGAGCTGTAGATAAAATTTGACAGCTGTGTTTTATCCATTTATAAATGTGCATGCTCTCAGTAACACGGGGGGACAAACATGTGACACATTTGAATTAATTATTTTTTATGATTGTGTGTTTTAGGAACATGGTGAATTTGCAGAATCAGCACTGTTGTTGTAACCTCAGATAATAAAAGGATATTAATTTCTATGCAGAAAATAGATAATATATTAGTTGCATAGCTTAATGGTTATTTTTACTCTGAGGAGATTTGTTTGAACCTATAAAAAATGGAATTATTTAAAAGCATATGTTCTAACACACTGATATGTCACGAAAATAACTTGCAGTGCTATTTAAAATACTGCATCCTATACAGCTTTATGCCTTTGCTTTCTCTTGTGTCACACTTATATGTATATCTCAGCTTATTTAATTTTCAATGTATTATTTTACTCTGTTATTTATTGTGTTGCAAAAAATAATAATAAAATCCTGTTTTAGCTATTTACAAAAATCCTTAATATGATTTGTCACCTTTAAGTGGACATTTGGAAAACTTTTGAACATTTTTGAAATATTTCATGCCATTCCAAAAACAGTGTAAAGTAAACATCAAAAAACATAATTTAAAGCAAGTGCCTTCAATCTATTCCATTGGTTATGTTCTTTGTCTGCTGAACAACTCTTACTTTATACAATATTTTGTAGAAAAAGAATATAATTTCATTAAACTGCCAAATAACACAGGATAAGTGGATATTTGAGTCACGCGCCACCTAGCGATAGTATTTAGCGTAGTTTTTAACCGCCATATTCTACAACCCGGAACCATTTACAGCTAGGCGTTACACTCCGGAAAGAAATAGGGGAAGGACATACTTCCAACATGTCGCGGCACCTACGCTTCATAGCCCGAACGGTGATGGTACAAGATGGTAACGTTGATGCAGCGTACAAGATCTTAAACAGGTTAAAGTCTTTCTAGTTAACGTTGATGTTGCTTTAGTTGATGTCAGGGGAACTAAAGGTGAATAAAAAGAATCTTAAATGTTAGCGATCAGCTCAATGTCAAAGAGTGCGGCTGCGCAGGAGAAGCGACCTAACGGGTTTCCTCTGTTTCGTTACACAAGATTATCGTTCATGTGATTAAATTATAAACTAATAATAATAATAACAAATATGCAACGAACTGTGGAGACGTAATGATGTGACTCTTGTTATAAAGAAACGGTATAGTGCTCAATTAATGGTATTAAAACATTTGCCATCATAAGTATACAACAGTGGGGCTTCCCTCCTCTATTAATCCAAAGGTAGAAAAAATGCATCACTGTGAGCTTCTGTTTTTACTTGCAGATATTTTCTCACACCAAGACATATCTGACTGGATTTTGCATTAAAAGCATTTTTGAATAATGCAATAAAATATTCAACCCTTATCTATCTCAAAAGTCAATACCACCTTCAAGTTATTCATCAAATGCAAAGTCATTTGAGTTTTACGGAAGGTTTCGATTTCTTTTAGAAAACTAGAAGGCAGGTTATTGCAGTTTATTATTCAGGAAGTAATAAAAGTCTCTACTAAATTTTGTGCCTTGGATCGAGATCAAATGAAATAAATAACCTTTTAAATGTGAGCAACAAAACCCAAATGGAATCCAATGTAGCACCAAGATTTTATCAAGGAGATTGATTTGAGGTTTATTGTCATTTATGTTCATATTCTGATGTCTCTTAGAGTACTTTTATTAAGTTTTCAGGGACTTTGGAAGGTAAGCAGGCCCACAGACTCCTAATCACCATATATAATGTTTGTTTCCCAAATATTCATTCAAAATCCAGGTTAATTCGACCAAATCTTATGGTTTTAGTTAGTTAAACAAACGTCAGGTGTTTTTAAGGTAGTGTACGGGAATGCTTTCTCCCCCAGTATGACTGCCTGCCATAATACTAGTTGATTACTGTAGTGAATTTTTGTTTTACCCTACTTTCCATCCTCCTTACTGTAGGGGTCCTTGTTGATTCTGGTCGATGGTCGTCAAAAGAAGAGCGTGC